GACATCCATTGCCTTAGCGGACCGACGGCATGCGGTTACCACGCCAACGACGCAGACGCCGACGGCTCGAGGGCGACATTTGACATCTGCGCGGTCTATTACCAGAAGCAATCCAACGTGCCCGTGCTGGTTCGCAGACGACGGTTACTCCTACCTGGATGGCGCAGGTATTTCAACAAGTTCAACAACGAGATGTTCGCGCGCCAGGATGGGCGTCCATATCTACCGCGCCCGCCGCTCCGACCCGAATCTGGGGGCACGCCGCCGTGGATTTTCGCGCTAGCCCCCAGGACTTCGATCAAACATTCGAGCCCGAGGACGCCATGCGCGCAGACGTGCGTCTGCCAGTGCCCGCGCCGTCCAGCCATGCCGCAGCCGCGCGCCATGGCAACGACCTGCAGGCATTCGCAGCGCGCGACTGCGACGACGTATCTTTTCGACCCCCCGCTGCAGCGATTAACCGGCATTCTCGAGTACTGCTCACAAGAAATCACTCACCACTCAACGCCAGCAAGATCGCTGCACTCAACGCGTGCCACGAAGACGACGACCCCATGAAGCGCGCCTGGGCAGTCAGCGTACGAGGCGCGACCGCGCGACTGCAGCGTATCTGCACGCCAGATATGACCAACCAATGCTACCGCAAACTAGTTTTGGCGGCGAAAGCAGCAGCGAAGAGCACGACCAAGCCGACGCCCATAAGCATGCCGGCGCCCCACCTCCCACGCTACTTCCACCGAACACGCAAACCACAGAGCCCAAGAACGCGCGCCCGCACTGCCGCCACAATGGCTGATGCACGACGCGCAGACCCAGGAGACGCGCGCAGGCGCCAACGACGCGCCGACCAAACAAGTCTCAGCTGACGCACCACCAGTCAACAACAGCACTTGCCCAACTTGCTGACCACAACGCAACGCTACTGAATCCACAAAACGACAACCGCGACATCTCGACTGCGCGCCAGCAGTGGCCAGCGACGCCGTCATTGCTAACGCCGTCGCATCCATCACTAACACCTCCAGGATCACCCAACGCACTCAACACTAACGCACAGGCGCCGCGACGCAACATCCCCGGCGGACCGCTGACCGCTCTCATACTGAGCGCAATCAATGCGCCCGCCAAGTCGCCCACCGCGTCCAGCACGCGACTAGCTACGCCCCCGCCTTCTCAATCAACTCACGAAGCCGAAGACCACCCCTAGCGCCAGAGCCACGCCGACAACGACCGTGTTACTGTTGCAGGAACTCCAGACAAGCTATTAACAAGCGGCCCCCTTCCAAACCCGCAGTGCCATCCCACCCCCACGCTCTGACCGCCGCGAGGAAAGCGAATGTTTTGCTTGTTAACACGCATCACAGCAAGCCTTATTGCGTTGTGCACAAATACTGTCATCTACAAGCCTTTACTGGCACGACAGGCCAGCCCTCAGGGTCAGTCTACTCATAGCTTGCTTGACAGCGCGCAGCCACCTTCACTGTAGTATCGAGAGGGGGATGGGCGGGTTATATCCTGGGGACTGGGGAGGTACGTGCCGATGGTTTGGGGTGCACCGAAGCCTTCGGCAGCAACCTGAGAACTGCTCCGCACAGCGCCGCTCAATCCTCACGAATGGCGTTCGTTGCGTTTTATTTTCCTTGCATGCGCTGCACCTACACTGGCGGCGCGACCACTGTCAATTATGTTTTTCTCACCTTACTATGATATTGGGAGGGTTGACTCACTAAGGGCAGCGTCGTCCTCTGGTGACTGGCGGGCGCTTACCCGTTACTATATTATCATGTGTTCGTTTCCTCCATTGCCCGCGGCGCCCGCCATGTTCCTTTTTTGAACTGGGCCGCGTACGCATTTAGTTTCTTACGTTCAAGAACACCACAGGTCACCCCAAGGTTTGGCGAGCGCCAAAAACAATAGCCTGGCAATAACCCAACCATATGCAGTTGTGAGTACCGCAGCTGTGGGTTTAATCTTCAGTGGCATTCCCCATAAGACCACGGAGCGTGTGAGGGGTGAGCCGAGATGGGTGCCACTGGGCCTTTCGGTGAAGCGCCCTATGGGGCCATGAAACACGTGCGGGGTGTGCCAACATGGGTGGCGGAAGCGCATGTGAGGGCCGCCACTGGGGCCTCCAGTGGAGCTCCCTATGGGGCCCCGAAACATGCGGGGGGGGTGCCGGGATGGGTGGCGGAAGCGCATGTAAGTGCCGCCACTGGGGCCCAGCTCGGCGCGGGGGCCGCTGCTTCCTCCGCTCCCGGCGGGGCGCCGCGAGCGGAGGAAGTGGGGTCCCGGTTCAGAGGCTGGGGCGTTCTGCTCTCCCCATCCCCTCTCTTTGCCTTTTGCCTCCGCCCTCCCCCCCCCCCCTGTCCGTCCGCCTCCCCCCCCCCCCTCCTCATCTGGGCCAGTGCTTCGTCGGTTTGCTTCTGCCAGTCGCTCAGGCTGGAGGGGGGGTCCTGACCTCTGGACGAAGGCAGCCGCCAGGAGCAGCCAAGATCTGCGCCAAGATCTGGACCAGGGGGTGGGGAGGGGGGGGGGGGCCCGACGTCGTGTTATTTTCGCAGCGTCGACCCCCAGAGGCCTGGACCCTTTCCCCGGGGATGTGTTGTTCATCCTGAGCGTAGCTGCCTTGGTACGCCCGTGTTGACACGCAAGAGGAGTCTCGTGTTCCAAACGTGCGTGGTAACACGCAGCGTGTTGGCTGGGCACGTGTTGGCCCACGTTGTGGCGCACGTATCGCATCAGGCCTACGTTTCCAGTCTGCGCGCTGGCCCCCGAATCTATGCGCTGCGTGTTGCGTGTTGTGTTGCGGGGTAGCTAAGAACCCGAGCCGTTGCTTGACGGTCCCCAGGCCCAGCGGGGGCCCCTGGAGGCCGAGAATTTAGAGCAGCTTCCCGCCATGGTTTTGTCACGACGCGAGGGGGTCCGGGGGGGGGGGGCGGCCGGGCCCTTCGCCGGTCGGCGATGCAGCACACCAGACGACGGCCACGAGCCGCCCCGCGGCCGGGCGGCTCGGGCGGGCAAGCACAGGCAGCGCCGCTCCGACGGCGCAGGCTGCTCCTCTCTCGGGCCGTCGACGTGGCCCGTTGCGGGCCGCGAGGGTGTGGGGCCCAGGGGGGCAGGGTGAGGGAGGGGTTAAGCAGTGGCGAAGCGTCCCGTTGTGCCCATAGCCCTACCAAACAGTTTTCTGAGAACCTCCTGAGGCCTCCAACGAAATGTTCTTGGAACATTTCTGGTTGGGACTGTCTTGTTTTATCACATCGGGTTTATGTTCTAAGATCACTGTCTTTGTTATTCGAACATGTTTTGGGGGCTTGAGAACATGTCGTGGTAGGACTAGAGGAATGCTGGGATGGTCGGTCCCTGCTCAAGTGAGAGAGGAGGCACGGGGGGACCATGACCGAGATGCCACGGGATTCTCTCGATGCGATCTTGGTCCTGGTACATGTGGGCCGTCCGTCGATTCCCGAGGATGATCCGCTAATAGACGCTGACCAAGATCGACGGTGACCAAGATCGACACGACGTTTCCTCGGGCGGCAGGCTTGGTCATGGTCCTCGCTTGCTTCCCCACCAGCCAGAATCCCAGAGGATCCCGGAATTTCGACGATGCGTTCTTGATTCAGCCTGCCGCTCTTCCGCGCTTTCGGTTCTTGAGGCGAACCACTCCCCAGAGGCAGGAAGCCCGTTGGGACTTCCGGGGCCGCAGATTGAACAGGGTCTGATCGTCGGACGTCAGGGCTCGAGGCTCGAGGTGCTTGGACGCCTCGGGCTCTTCTCGGCCCAGCCACCCGGCTGCCCCAACTCTTTCGAGGCGTGGGCCCTGGAGGTCTAGAACGGTTTTTTTCATCCTGACAAGTTTCTCGATCAACCTGGGGCCCAGCGAGGGCTCCCGGTGGCCGAAAACGGCCAAAAACCGCCTGCTCCAACCTTCTCGGGGCGTCAAGGCTCGAGGCGCGGTGGTCGAGGCTCGAGGTGTTTGACGCCTCTGGCTCTTCTCGGGTCTCCAGAGGCCTCTCGGGGGAGGCCCACCCCGCAGGCGTGCCGAGGATGCCCACCCCGTGGGCCGTCGCCGTCGTCGTCGTCGTCGTCGTCGTCGTCGTCGTCGTTGTTTTCATTCGTTGTCGTCGTCGTCGTCTGTCCGTCCGTCCGTCCGTCCGTCCGTCCGTCCGTCCGTCCGTCCGAAAGTCCTGTGTCGTTGTCGTTCGAGGTCCGAGGGCCTCTGCAGGGGCCTCTAACTGGGGAGCGCCGGGACAGCCCGGGACGTCCCGGGATCAGGGTCTCGGGCGCGGGTCTGGATCTTACCGTTCAGTTGGGCCTGTCCCTCTACAGGAGGAATATTCAAAAATAGTCAAACAATAGTTTGGGGACTATTTTCTGACTACTTTTGAGCATTGTGGGAGTATTGTTTCAGTATTTTTAATTTTTCGCCCAAGATCGCATTGGAGGGGGACAGGCACGACTGAATCTTACCGGGGCCACGGCGAGCTGTAGCTGAGCCACGGGGCACGGGCACGACCGGGACACACGTCAGTTCGGTGGGTCTTCTTGGACGCTGATTCCAACATACATAATACCTGTGGAAGCCGATTAAGGGAGAGGAAGCATGCTGCCAAATAAGTTCCAGGCGGCTAGAAGATGTTTCAAACATGTATTAACTGCCTGATACATGTGTTTGAAAGATCTTTATAACATGTTTTACACATCCCAAACACACCTTGAGTTCAATGATAGGATTGTTAGAGTGTCCATTGTCATGGCATCCACAAGAACATACACAATACACTTATTTGCACTTTGGTAGGGATTATTCGAGGCCGCTGAAGGCCACTAAGGGCTGTTAAAGGCCGCTAGAATTTACCAACGGCTGCAACAAGGCGACGAGAGGCCGCTAAAGGTCGCCAAGAACATCGTGAAGGTTGCGAAAGACAATTAAAGGCTACTACACTGAGGCGGTATATGCTAGAATGTGCCTCCAAGGAGACGCAGCTAGCGCCACCCGTAGGAATTTTCGCTCAAGCTATTTCGGGTCGCTGGACTTCTCTGGCGAAACAACCTGCAGCTTGTGACACCGCCCATCTGCTCTGACGTTCGCAATGCCAGAGCTCAAGGACTACGTCTACGGCTTTTGCATGTGTGCGACCAGCTTGTACTCGGTCGAGATGCTGTGGCAGGCAAAGGAGGCTCAGACCAAATACTTAGTGAAGGGTTCCACTTCCAACGAGGCCTCCGTGGCTTTCACACAGTGGTTTGGAGCCGCCATCGGGCAGATTGTCATGATCTCGGCAGCGGGCTACCTCGCTGCGCACAAGGCTGGCGCTGACTCCGTGAAGAATGCGATGGGTGTGACGGTGGCGGCGAGCACCCTCTGGTCATTCGCACGATCCCAAAAGAGCGTCCAGGATGGAGTGCAGAAGCCGGTCATCACAGCACCGATATTTCACACCACGTCATTCGTAGGCTTGCTAGCCTGCTTCCTCCCTGGCTTCATGAAGGATCTGAAGTGATTTGAAGACGGGGCGCGAGCGACCTCGCTTCCGCCCCCCTGCCTCCTCAATCGTTGTGTATATAGACTGTTGGATGGAGCGGGCGGAAGCGCAGCGGCTCTCGTCGGGCCTGCTGTGCTGGGTGAGCGTGCTTGACCGCTCGGCCTTCACGCTTGGGGCCGCTCGGCCCTCGGACAACCCGCGCGGCTGCTGCCCGCTTCCGTGCGCTGCGGCCTCGCCTCGCCCCCGTGGAGTGCGTCGGCTGCCGCACCGCTCCAGCGACCCCTGGGAAGCGCTCTCCCTTTCGGACGACGGAAAAAGACACACCAAACTCGGGCCAGACGAAAGGGGGGGGTAAGGGAAAGGGGGGGGGGTACGAAATTTGCTGCATGCAGCTGGTTTCGGCCCCACCGAGGGGCCCATTCCTCGATACATGGCCGCCTCTGTCGCCGACAGGCGCCGGGAAAATCAGCTACGTGAGCTGATTCTCAAACCCACCCTTTGCTATCCCCCCCTTTCGCCCAGCCCGACTAACGCCAGGGTGCACTTCAATCCGATCAGCTTCGATTCGATGTCGGCTCTGGCCGGCTCGGTCCGAGTCGGTTCCGATACTCCGGCCATCCGATGCGGGCCGATGTTGGCACGGCGTTGTTCTGCTTCCTGGCGCGGTCGATCCATTTCGGTTTCGATTCCGAGCCGATGAGGCCCCGATCGACGCTCGTTTTGATCCGATCCGACTTCGCGATCCGATGTCGGGGGAAGGAGACGCCGCAACCCCCCAGCGAGGAGGTCCACACTGCCTCCCCGAGCTGGGGATGGGGGATGTCTCGATCGAGAGGGGGCGACTACCTCACCAGGGGGATCCCCCTGGCTCCTCACGTTGGTGGTCCCGAGTGGTGGCTCATTAAGCATAATACAACCCTAGTGAAATAACGAACTCGTGGCCGAACTTAGGTCATGGGTGGTTCAGGGCTACCCCTAAACGTGCGGGTGGATTCGTCTGAGACATCTGCAAGACGGGACCCCTATTCCTAATGTGTGTTGGCCCTCCTAACTTACGTCCCCCCAGCGGATTCGGGGTGCGTCCAGTGTTCCTCGGTGGTGGTGCCGCTTCTCCGGTGGAGCTCCCTGTGGGGCCACGAAGCGTGTGAGGGGTGTACCGGGATGTGTGGCGGGGGCGCATGTGAGTGTTGCCCTTGGGGCCTTCGGGGCAGCTCCCTATGGGGCCACGAAACGTGTGAGGGGTGTGCCGAATGGGGTGTGCGGGTGACGCATGCGGGCGGTGCCGCTGGGGCCTTCGGTGGAGCTCCCTATGGGGCCACGAAACCTGTGAGGGGCGTGTCGAATTGGGTGGTGGGGACGCATGTGAGCGCGGCCACTGGGGCCTTCGGTGGAGCTCCCTATGGGGCCACGAAGCGTGTGAGGGGTGTGCCGAATTGGGTGGGTGTGGGTGACGCATGTGAGCGGCGGCACTGGGGCCTCCGGTGAAGCTCCCTATGGGGCCACGAAACCTGTGAGGGGAATGCGGAATTGGGTGTGCGGGACGCATGCGGGCGGCGGCACTGGGGCCTTCGGTGGAGCTCCCTTTGGGGCCACGAAACGTTGGAGGGGTGTGCCGAATTGGGTGTGCGGGACGCATGCGGGCGGCTGCACTGGGGCCTTCGGTGGAGCTCCCTATGGGGCCACATACCGTGTGAGGGGTGTGCCGAATTGGGCGTGCGGGACGCATGCGGGCGGCGGCACTGGGGCCTTCGGTGGAGCTTCCTCTGGGGCCACGAAACGTGTGAGAGGTGTGCCGGATTTGGTGTGAGTGACGCATGCGCATGTGAGCGCCGCCACTGGGGCCTTCGGTGGAGCTTCCTATGGGGCCACGAAACGTGTGAGGGGTGTGCCGAATTGGGCGTGCGGGACGCATGCGGGCGGCGGCACTGGGGCCTTCGGTGGAGCTTCCTCTGGGGCCACGAAACGTGTGAGGGGTGTGCCGATTGGTGTGAGTGACGCATGCGGGCGGCGGCACTGGGGCCTTCGGTGGAGCTTCCTATGGGGCCACGGAGCGTGTGAGGGGTGTGCCGAATTGGGTGTGTGGGACGCATGCGGGCGGCTGCACTGGGGCCTTCGGTGGAGCTCCCTATGGGGCCACGGAGCGTGTGAGGGGTGTGCCGAATTGGGCGTGCGGGACGCATGCGGGCGGCGGCACTGGGGCCTTCGGTGGAGCTCCCTATGGGGCCACGAAACGTGTGAGGGGTGTGCCGAATTGAGTGTGCGGGACGCATGCGGGCGGCAGAGGGGGAGGAAGGAGGAAGGAGGGACGCGGGGCGCTGTCTCTTCAAAACGGGGACCCAACACCACAGGATGGTTGGGAAAAAAGGATGAAGAGGAACAGGAGGAGGAGGAGGAGGAGGAGGAGGAGGAGGAGGAGGAGAGGGGGAGGAGGAGCAGGAGGAGGAGGAGGGAGGAGGAGGGAGGTGGATGAGGAGGAGGAAGAGGAGGGGGCATAATAATAATACGAATAATAATGATGAGGATATGAATAAGGAGGGGGAAGCATAATCATATTAAACAGACTAAGGAGGAGGAGGAGGACGAGGAGGAGGAGGAGGAGGAGGATAATAATACTAATAATAGTATTATTGTGTATCAAAAACAAAAGAAAACTAATCATACTATGAACTATAAACATAATATGGTTATACGAATACTAAGAATAATACGAAGAAGAGCAGGAGGATGAGGAGGAGGAGGAGGGGCGTCGGCGTCGACACCCCCGCACCGGGGGTCCCCCACGCCTCTTCGGGCTCGCGGTTGTCGTCGAATCATCTCGTGTGCAGGAGGGGACGGGCCGTCTTGGGGTCTCTCTGGGCCTGGCGCCTTCTCGGGGCACCTTAGAGCTGTCTTGGAGGTCTCTTGGGCTGTCATGGGGCCCTGTCGCGCCTTTTCGGGATGTCGTGCGCCCCCTTTGGGGGCCTCTTCGGCCATCTTGGGGCGGGCTATCTTGGAGACCTTGTCGGCCGTTTCGATTTTTCGGAGAAAGCAAATGTGAACACGTGATTTGTGTGAAACAGCTTATGGGAAATTCGTATTTCTAGACTCTTCGGACCCTCCTGGAGTGGAGGGCCGCTTGGAGCTCGCTTGTGGCGTCTTAGGCGCCTCTGGGGCTGTGTGATGCCATCTGGGGCCGCTTTGGAGCCAGCCATCTTGGGCCGTCTCGGAGGCATTTCGGGCCGTCTTGGGCCATTTTGGGTGCCGTCGTGGATCGTCCTGGGCCGTCTTAGATCCCATCTTCAGGCCATCTTGGCGAAGTTTCTTGACTCCCTGGTTGGTTCCAGTGGTTCGGGGTGTTTTCTAGGTGGCCGGCGGTTTGGTCCCGAGGCCACCTGGAGGCTTTTTGTTGTAACATTTGGCAAGCAAAGCACCCCTGTGCAGCAGATTTAGTGGCCTTCGGCGCAACCCGCCATTGTCTGGGTTGTGGACCAGAGGCCTCTTATACGCCCTTTGGGCTTCTTGGGAGGCCACGTACTTTCGGACTTCTAGAGGGCCTCTTGGCGACCTCTTGGGGGCCTCTTGGGGGCCTCCTGGCGGTGTTGATTGCTATCTCGGGGTGCAGGAGTGCAAATGTCAGTCCATGCTCCCCCTTCTCGGGCCCCTCTTGGGGTCTTGGCGACCGCTCGGAGTCTCTCGGTGGGCCGCTGCCCCCCCTGAGCAGCTGGAGCTCGGCCAGAGCTCTGGAGCGGCTGTGTTTCAATGGCTCGACCGACCCTCTTCGGGCCGGGGTGCTTGACCAGTAATGGTGGAGTCAATGGGTCAGGCAGCAGGGCAGGAGGGAGGAGAACGCACCTTCACCCCCTCTGTGGGAAGACGGCTGGATGGCATCCGCTCGCGCGCGGGCGCGCAGGTCAGCATAATTTGAGGGCCCGTGAGCGCGGGCCGAATTCGCAGGCACACTGTTAGGAGGCGGGCGGCCGCGCGCCACCTCCGGCTCCCTGCCAGGTCCATTCTGGGCCCCAGCCCACAGAGAGTGCATCTGTGCACCGGCACCGTGCCAGCCAGGGCCCTATTTGGATCGCCGCAGGGGTTGTTAAGGAAATGCGTGGCTTAGAAGTGGATGCTAAGGCGGATAGCACCTGGCCCATGCCTTCCTTACAGATGGGTTGTGGAAGCCTCAAGTAGCTCACAAACATACAGCTCTGGGCGAAGTGGGCGAAGTTCATTCAGCGGAGTTATCTAACCACCCTGAGCCATTTGGGGCGCTTGTGCCCCACTTGCGAGCTAGGCTTGGCCAGGTATTACCCACCTTGACATCCAATTCTGCCCCTCATCCCCTCAACAACCCCCGCGGCGAATCTGGGTATCCGTTGGACCTGGGATGGTGCACACCGAGCATCGGGGGCCTCGGCCAGGGGGCGTAGACGCCATGTCAGCGCCCAGAATGGCCCTTCCTAGGATTCAGTCGGGCCTGTCCCTCTACAGGGGGAACATTCAAAAATAGTCAAAAAAATAGTCTGGGGACTCTGTTTGCACTAGATTTGAGCATTCTGGGGGTATTTCTGTGGTATTTTCTTCAATTTTTCGGCCAAAGTCCTCCTGTAGGGGGACAGGCCCGACTCGATGCCAGGAGCGGTGGTGGTACCTATGCACTCTGGCTGAGCCCCCTCCAGACCTACGGTAGGTCTGCGTCGTGTCGACCAGCGGCGACCCCAGCGCGGGCGTTCAAGGTTGAACGCCGCGGGCGACCCAGAATCGGTCGATGTTGAACGATTGGACGTTGCGGGAACGGCCGATCGTTCAAGGTTGAACGATCCCTGCGGTGTCAAAAACCAACGCTGGGGTCGGCACGACACGAACCTGCCGTAAAATCCTGGAGCGGCCGGGCCTGCTGGCGGTGCGCCGCTGCCAGCTCCCAGCATTTAGGCGTGGCGGTGCACGACGAATCCACGAGCCCAGAGCGCGTTTGGGTCCGACTGCCGCGGCTCCTCCGCGGCGGTGGGTTGCCAACACCGCTCCTCCTGCGGGCGTCTCCCTCGCCTCGTCTCGGGCTCTCGCCTGTGCGCCCTCACTGACCCCTCCTCCCCACCCCCGTTTTTGAACTTCAGAGGAGGAGAAGGAGGAGTAGGAGGAGGTGTGGGAGGAGAAAGATTAGGAGGAGGAGGAGGAGGAGGAGAAGGAGGAGGAGGAGGAGGAGGAGGAGGAGGAGGAGGAGGAGGAGTACGACGAGGAGGAGGCGGAGTAGTTAGAGGAACGGGAGGAGGAGTAGGAGGAGGAGGGGGAGGAACTGGATGAATGGTTAGGGGCAGGAGCAGGAGGCGAAGGATCGAGGACAGGGAGCAGAAGGAGGAGGAGGAGGAGGAGGAGGAAAGGTGGAGGAGGAGGAGGACGAGTGGCTGGAAGGATGCGGAGCTTCCTACTATCGGATGGTAAGGGTGGTGAGGAGAAGCAGGAGGAGCCAGGCATATCCGGACATGGGAACTCGTTCCTCCCTTCGCCTCCTCTCCTACCTGTGACCCCTTGCCTCTACTCCGTCCCTCCCTCTCTCCCTCCCCTCCCTCCCTTCCTCCGTCCCCCCTCCCTCCCTTCCTCCCTCCCTCTACTCCTTCCCTCCCTCTCTCTCCGTAGCCAGTTTGGCTCAAGCCATCTTGGCCTCCCTTTCAGTAAGCCCTTGCTCCTGGACCTTGACCCCCGACGATCTTCGAGACCCAAGATTCACGGGGCAACTTGGCGGGCGTGGGGGACTCGGGGGAGCAGGGATGTCGGCTCGCGGAGGATGGCGGCGGGAGGGTATGGAGTTACACATCCGTGGCGCCGCAGAGCCGAGGACCGCAAGGGTGGGAAGCCGTTGGCTGGGCGGTCTGCCGATCGGGCTGTCATCAGGCTCTCTGGTGAGTTCAAGCTGGTGCAGGCGGGCTTCGGGGCGATCGTCGACGCTCTCAACACCATCTTCGGGCGTGCCGAGCTCGCCGATCGCGTCGTGGCGCCGGCGCTGGCCTCGGGGGGGAACCTGGCGGGGCGCGTGCGGTCTGCGGCGCAAGCAGCGAAACGGAGCGTCGCTCTGCGCTCCGACGCTCGCGCCGTGCGTTCGTCGACCGCGCCGATCGAGCAGCTGCGGCGGCTGCAGGAGCACGGCGCCAGGCTGGAGGCCCGTGCTGAGGCAGAGCTTCGCCTTCAACGCGCGCGCTTTGGAGTTGATCCCCAGCGGCTCATTCGAAGGGTGTTGGGTACCTTTGCCGCAGCAAGCTCCCCCGAAGCTGAATGCGACCTTCGTGGACAATACCGCGGCCCCCGTGGGCGGCGATGGCGAGGCGCATGACCGCGGCCCCGCAGACGCCACTCTGTGCAAGGAGGCTGTTCCCATGGAGAACGTTGTCGAACTTGACGGGCGAAATCTGGGCAGGAAGGTTAAGGACGCCGTCGCAGATGCTGTCGCTGACTTGCCCACTGCTGCACGGGATCCCCTGGAGCAGCGTCGGCTCTGAGGCCCGCAGGTGTGGTGGGCCTGCTCGAGTTGGCATAAGGTCTGTTCTGTCTCGCGGTGCGAAGACAATCCGATGGAGGGCGGCACGGCTGCGTCCTCGCCAGATCCGCTGCCCTAGGCAGAGGGCAAGCCGACGTGACAGTTCGACGTCCTTCTCCACGAGCTCCCCGCGCCGGGCCGGGCGGAGTCTGGATAGCGGCCGCGCCGTGGGTTGGGGCCCGTCGTGTGCTACAGTTTCCCCGCCTCGTTCTTCATCTTCTCCACCATGCTGGAGGAGGTCCGAGGGTGTGGTGTGCTGGCGTGGTAGAGTGCACATCATTCCCTCCCTCCTTCACCTCCCTCCCTCCCAATATTCCGCTTCCCTTCCTTTTCCGTCCCTTCTCCTCCCGATCTTATTCCCTTCCACTTCCTCTCCCACTCCTCCTCTTACCCCCACTTCCTTCCCTCGCCCTCCTCCCCCTGGTGGAAAGAGAGATCGCGGCGGCGCGAAGACGACATCGGGAGAAGTTGCCCCTCCTCAGGGGGCGGCGGGAGAGCCTGAAGGGCAATCGAGAATCGCGCTCGACGCTGCGCGAAGTTAGTTGTGTTCTTGTGTGTTTTGTTGCTAGTCTTCATGGTTGTGTTGTGTGTGTGCCTGTGCGTTGTTTCACTTGGTTTCAGTTTTTGTCGGAAGGCATCCTGTGGTTTGGGGTCGTCGTTTTGACGAGGCAGCGCCCCGCGTCTCCTTCCTTCTCCGCTGTTTCTCCCTTCCTCCTCCCGTGCCTGCCTCTCCCCTCCGCGTGCTCACCCTCCTGCCTCCTGCCCTCCTCCCTGGTCCCTCCCTCCCTCCTCCGCCCTCCCTCCTCCCTCCCTCCTCCGCCCTCCCTCCTCCGTGGTCCATGTGACTGTCGGCAGAGTCGGGCGAGTTGAGCCGGGACATCGGGCCCGCCCATCCCTCTCAGGAGGGGCTAAGGCCAGACGGATCAAGTCCAGGTGGAGACCGAGCATTCCGTGTGGAGTCACTCCGTACGGAGCCAGTTTCTCGCACGTTCAAGTGCCGACGTTTGCTTCGCATTCCCACCCTCGCCCCTCGCCCCAGGGGCCGCTCGCGCGTCTTGCTCAGCGAGGTCCTTTTTCGTTTTTCCCAGGGGTGTGGCGGGACCGCCCCTGGGGGTGGCTTGTGATGTTATCATCCGTACGTATGGACTCAGCTGCCACCGACCCCCACAGGCCTCCCAGGAAAGGATAACTTGCCCTGGTCGGTTGCGCAGGTCCGAAGGGGGGACGCCCGCACGACCACGATGGCGCCTCCCTGCCACTCGACAATGGTGGTGGTGGTCGTGTGATTTTTTTTGCTTGCTCCCAATGTGGGAGGGTTCCGCTGCGCGCCAGTGCCCTGGCTCACCCCTCCTGGGCTCGACGTTGCGAAGGGAGCACGGATTCGTTTTGCCCAACCGTGACACCTTTTGTTCTGCCCCAGGCGCCGTCGGGGGCGGCGTTTCCGGGCCTCTGGGACCGTCAGGACACGGTCCTGGGCGAACGACCCGGCCCAGGAAGGGGTCGAGAACTCAGTGGCCCGCGCACTAGCGCAATCAGGACCCTGGAGGCATGGGGGCAGACCGTGACGGGAGCTCTCGGCACCACCTTTCTGCAGCGCACCTCTCTCGGCGCCGATCCCGCTCTAGAAGCCCCAGAGGGCCCGAGACCGGGCCCTGATGACGGTCGTGCTCCTTCGCTCTGGTACCACTTTCGAACCTCACCCTTGCGGATCCAGTCGACGCGGGGCTCGCGGACACCCCCGCTGGCTGCAGTCGTCTGTCGATTTCTAGGCCCCAGCCGCGCTTTGAGACAAGTTCAACCTGCAGGGGCAGGGCCCACATCCGGTTGCCACTGCTCCCGGCGAGCAGATCAGTCCAGGCTGCCCGAGCGTGCGGTTCCGTTGCCGTGTGCTGCCGCATCCTCGTTGTCGTTGTCTTCGCCTCTGTTCCCCTCTTCGTCGCCGCCGCCGCTGCCGCCGCCGCCGTCGTGGTCGTCGTCCCCGCCGTCGCTGCCGTCCTCGCTCTCGTCGTCCGCGTCGTCGTCGTTGTCCTCGTCGTCGTCCTCAACCTCGTCGTCGTCGACGTCGTCGTCGCGTCCTTGTCGTCGTCGTCGTCGTCGTCGTCGTCGTCGTCGTCGTCGTCGTCGTGGTCGTCGTCGTGGTCGTCGTCGTGGTCGTCCTCGTCCTCGTCGTCCTCGTCCTTGTCCTCGTGCTCGTCCACGTCGTCGCTTCGTTGTTGTCGTCGTCGTCGTCCTCATCCTCATCCTCGTCCTCGTCTCCGGGCAGCGCCTGCAGCCTGCCGCCCACTGCCGCGGGCAGCGCCCCGCTCTGCCGCGCGTGGCGTGCGGCTCCGCGCCGCGCGCCGCGCCCGCTGCCGCGCCGAGCGCCCTCGCTGCCGCGCGGCGCGGCACCCGCAGGCTCGGCGGCGGCCCGCCTCGGCCGCGGCGGCGGCGGCGCGCCCCTCGGGGCCCTGCGGCGCGGAGGCCGCCGGGCGCCCGCGCCGCTGCGGGTCGTGAAGAGGTTTCGAGGTGAGAGGTTTCGAGTTCCTCGGGTTTTTTTTTCCGGGTTTTCTGACGTTTTGGCGCATTCTCGGCGGTTTTCCAGCTTGGGGGTGCGCCTTGGCGGCCTCTGCCCTGCCGAGAGTGTTCGGATCGTCCCGGACGTCCGCGCGAGAGACGAGGTATGACCTCGCCCGTTCATCGCCGAGGAGGGCCCGCTCTCGGGGGCAACGGTCGTCGGCACGGTCGAAGTGGGCACGGAATTTGGGCTCTATCGAAATGTGCGTCGGTGGCAAGTCGTGGCAGCCTCGTTTCCCTTCACATTTTCGCCTTTAGAGTGCAATAGCGTTCACTAGCATATGTTAATCGATGAGACAGCGCCGATGTAGAGTCGATTAGCGTCGACTTAGCGTCTCGCTCTCGTCATCTTCCTCTGCGTTCGCCTTGAAGCCGTCTGGGGTCTGAGGTGGCCTGGCACTGGTTCGGCCAGCAGGAAGGGGCGGCATGTTCGAGGTTCTGGGTTCGGGAAGGTTTTCCCTACCTAGGCTCTGCCTAGAAGGGTTCTTACTCGGCATGCTTAAAGGGCCGGGCAGTGGAACGCGCCCCGGGCGGTTCCCCCAGTATCCGCCCCGCGGTTCCCCCAGTTACGTCCCCGTAGCTTTGCGTTGCTTATCTCAAGCTTAGCTTATTTCATCTTAGCTTAGCTTAGCTTCATCGTAGCTCAGGTTTATCTTGGCTAGCTTTCCTTCATCTTAGCTTCGCTGAGCTTTAGCATAGCAGAGCACAGCATAGCATAGCGTAGCATAGCATAGCGCAGCACAGCATATCATAGCATAGCCCAGCATAGCATAGCATAGCGCAGCATAGCATAGCATAGCGCAGCACAGCACAGCACAGCATAGCACAGCGCAGCATAGCATGGCATAGCATAGCAGAGCATAGCGCAGCATATCATGGCATAGCATAGCATAGCATAGCATAGCATAGCATAGCATAGCAACTAATGCTGCTTTCCTAGGGGCTCCAACTTCTAGGTAGGGTCGCACTGGGACTGCTTTCTGCTTGCAGGGGCCGTTTTCGGGTCCCAG